GTCATAGTTCACAGCAATCTCAAACTCCTGGGCTCAAAACGATCTTTTTTCCTTAGCCTCCTGGGTAACTGGGACCACAGCGCCTTGTTCTTGCTTAGGCTGGTCTTGAACTCGTGAGCTCAAGCAATCCACCTGGCTCAGCCTCTCAGAGAGCTAGGATTATAGTTGTGAGCCATCGTGCGTGGCCATAAAAGTTCCTTTTTCATATCATACCACATTCTTTTAATCTCTGCTTAAATTATAAAAGTAATATGTGCCTCCTCTGTTGTCCAGTTTCCTTAAGAAAAATTTCTCATGTACAGAAAAATGAGCATAGTACAATAAACAGCCTGTACAGCCTCCTTCTAGATTCAGTAATTAACATTTTGCCATATTTATTTTCTCTGATATTCATGTATATATTTATTGAACTTTTTGATCCCAAATGTGTGCATTTCCTGCAAGTTAAGACTTTGTTATATAACTACACTGATCTGGCAGGGCACAGTGGCTCAGGCTTGTAATCCTAGCACTCTGGGCAGCCAAAGTGAGAGGATCACTTGAGTTCAGGAGTTAAAGACCAGACTGAGCAAATGCAAGACCTGGTCTCTAATAAAAGTAGAAATATTTAGCCAGGTGTGGTGGCATGGGCCTATAGTCTTAGGTATTTAGGAAGCTGAGGCAGGAAGAGTGCCTGAGCCCAGGAGTTTGTGGTTGCAGTGAGCTCTTATGATGCCACTGCACTCTAGCTAGGGTCAGTCTTCAAACTTCCCTAGTTGCCTCAAGAATATCTTTTAGTTTGGGTCAGAATCTAAGTAAGGTTCATACTACTTTTTTTCTTTTCAGTTGTGTAATCTAGAACAGATTGCCACCTTTCTCCCGGCCTCTTCTCTGACTGCCCTAAATAGCTCTTAAGCTCAAATGATGCCTCAGCTTCCCTGAGCTGGTACTACAACCAGTGGGCATCACTGCACCTTGTCATGCTGAACTAGGATGATCTAGTGTTTAGGCTTACCTCATAGTTTTCCTCATATGTAAATCTGTTCCTTTAAAACCTTCTTGTATGGCTTGGTGCCTGTGGCTCAAGCGGCTAAGGTGCCAGCCACATACACCTGAGCTGGTGGGTCGAATCCAGCCCAGACCCACCAAACAACAATGACGGCTGCAACCAAAAAATAGCCAGGCATTGTGGCGGGCGCCTGTAATCCCAGCTACTTGGGAGGTAGAGGCAGGAGACTCGCTTGAGCCCAGGAGTTGGAGGTTGCTGTGAGCTGTGATG